CTCTAGTGATTGGCTGTTGCGTGATATCCCCGGTGTGGCTGCGCTTGATGTGCATGTTGACAAGGTGCCTACCTGTCTATTACCCACTACCTCGTTCATACTGGCTCCAGGAGACAGTTGGTCGTTGCTGGAGGGGACTGGATGCACTGTCCTTGTGGCCGTGCTAGGCTCGAAGGGTAGCTCCATGCACTCAGTTTGGAGCGGACCACGTTCGAGCCACCGCCTTGTGTGCGATTGATTCTCCAAATACAGCATGCTTGCGTTTGCCTGTGAAGGAGTGTGAGCCGGTTTCGTTTGCTGAAACGTGGCCCCTATCCACGTGCCTCCCGGTCTTATTCCTTCGTGTTTACACTGGATATGGGGTGTGTGGTTGGGGCTGTGGGTGGTGCAGTGCAAGCCACCGATGGTCCCTTTGTAGACGCAGGCGTCCTGTGGCTGGCCACAGTGACAGGTAAATCTGGAACTGGATGCCACCAACCATATATGGTGCTGAATTACGCATATTTGCCTGCTCCTTTTGATATCCGTATGATAAACGCAGTTCGTTCATAGATTTCATTTTTACAGCTTCGAAAGCACTTTCGATGTGGACGCGTATGGCGAGCAATGAAATGACAGCGACCGCTGCTTCGTAACTCTGACTGATTCTGAACGTCTGATCGTACGCATGTAGCACAACACGAGCGTAGTTCAGGAGAGAACATCGTCCGCCGGGAATAACTGCGATATTATAAGTGCTGTTGGCTCTGGATATAATGTCATCGGGATTCTCTTACTCTATTGTCTTCACGTCTCTGAGACACGACGTACTGACCTCTAGGATTTGTGAAGTCTAATTTGAGTTCATCATAACCACTCTGAATGAAACAGCCATTAAACATAATTGATAGCACTGGACAGGTGTTTCATTCTGTCAGAAACTACCGGTAGTGCGTATTTCGTCTGCTCCGTGTGAGGATATGCTCTTCGGAGCCAGTGCGTAGGAGCACTGGGTCACTGGGGACTGCAGGAACGACTAATATGGTACAGTTATCACTGAACGGCATATTATCACCCTATGGAGAACAAGGTGACCCCAGCTATGACTTCTCAAGCTTATGCTACCGATATGCGCAAGTAAGTTGGTAAGCGTTTGCGTCGCGCGCTTATTACAGCAAATTAGTCACAACGGAGCAGGACACGTAACAGACTAGATCAAGTTGTCAGTGTTCACCCGCTGAGGCTACATCAGAACAAGCATCAGTCTGCCTTAGTATTTTTTCGTCTGCACGGATACATTGTGAACGGTTGCCAATTGGTGCATGGATTCGTGTACCGGATCTGTATGCAGTTCCCATGTATGAGAGATCTTTTCCGGTACCTAATACTTCATGTTTTTTGGTATTTGGTTCTGTAGTTGAATCACTATGTCTTTTTTGCGCTTCGAATCGCAATAGTGTTTTCAACATACTTCATCCAATCCATATTCACTTTACTCTTTTTTCAACCTCTAGTCTGTCAATAAGTACTCCGGCGATTTATCCTACGTGCCACCGGTTCTTCGATGTCTGCCACCCGAATTTGCCGCGGAGACGTTTCGGAATCCGAGCGTGCTTGTTCAACCCTGCCTAAGCGCAGCTGAGGCCTGTCTTCGAAATAGTCTAAATCTGGACGCCGGGCCGGAAAACCGACGCACCACCGCAATCTCACGTCCCAATGTCCAGAACGGAGATGTGGTAATGCACACGGATGCGCGGACCCACAAAGCGTCCCAGCTGGCTCATGTATTGCCCCCCAACTACGCTAGTCTCCTTGCGTTCAAAAGCCTGCTCGTGCATTTGCCCAACTTGGTACGCAAAGGGAGCATGCATCTAGCTCAGTTTACGAACGCCCGGTAGGTCTGATTGTGCTTCCTTTCTTATTTAATGTGAAATTCGCGTGCTACTCTTACATACTTGGTGAGCATTCGTATTTTTTCTGCTAGGTGCAACTAGAGCCGACGTTTTTCGGTCGTGAAACTTACTCATCGTTTCACGCTTTTGGCCCAGGTTTTTTCTTGATTGTGATCTGTGTGTCGGAATTCGGCTGGTCCATTCTGTTCCATGCCACCTCCGGCGTCATAAACTTGACGTTTGAGGCTTTCTGATTGCTTGACAAACTGCGCAACCACAGAACGAAGCTATGTTGAAGAGTGTGCACAAAATGAATGATTTGGACACACGAGTTAAAAGTCAGTATCAACTGTACAGCGGCGGTTCTCCACTGCCGTATTATCAATAGTGACGATGCGGAATTCGTTACGTTGCCAAAACACTTGATTCATTGACCGTTTTCTACCTCACGCTTGAGTTCACTGGTCCGGACTCACACTTGTTTGTTGTGTTCGGTCCATCTCGTATCTCTCTGGAGGCTTACAGATTACAAGCCTGCCTGATAATCTGAGGGAGCGAGTTCGAGCCTGCTTAGAGGCCGGGCAACCCTCGCAGTATCCTTAGCCCACGTGCGACTGGTGGTGGTTGCGCGACAGCGAAGCGTCAGTACTGCGTACCGGCGTACTTCTGATGCCTTTTTCTTTGGAGCCGCGTTGAATTTAGTTCATCCCACTCAGCATACTGCGCGCTTTTCTGTCTTTATAAAAAAGCTGAGGAAACGCTGCATTGACCATTTGCGTGGGTTCGCAGTTGCAGCTTTTCTCGTCAAGGACGAGTTGCGCTCTCCACCAGTCAAAAGTGGACTTTTAGGACGCATCCCACGAACCGCTCACCCATTGGATGTCATATGTTAGTCTACTGCTACTCGAACGCCTTTTCCAGTGAGTGAAACCAAACGCATACCTTGCCTACTTCACGTATAGGCAAGCAAATGCAGAAAATCTCCCTTGCAATTTTCTGAAAACATTCTCTGTAACGGGTAAACGATTTGCATTATGGCCAAAACATAGAGACAAAAACGGGAATCACAATTCAACGGCATCCGTCGCACATTCATCTGTAATCTTGTTATCCTATGGGCAGAATATCATGATAAATGAAATAATGAAGTTTGCCTCTGACTGTCCGCTAATGTTATAACGAGATGGCCATTCCGTTGAGTACGACCTTATATTACGTGAATACGCAGTCCGGACACCTGCGTCCGTGTGACTCCAGATTCTGTGAGTCTCTGGAGCAATACGGCCGGTAGAGAAGCAAATGAATGACGATGAAAGCTCACGTTGTAGCACATTGTGGGTATGTTGATTTATTGATCGGGATCCCTTAGGGAACTAAAACAGGTCTAAAGGAAGTTAATATCTCTTGCCATACAAGTAATCTCATTTGCAGTCCGCGTTTCTGGAAGTGTACGTCATGACTCACTGTGCAGCAGCATTAGGTCTTCAAAGACGCATGTTTACACATGCTGCTGTGCTGTGTGGGATGTTAGTGCTCTCCATTTCGGATTTTCCTAGCCTGCCTGTACAATCGTGGTCAGTTCAGGTGATCGGATTTTAACCGTTTGCTCAATATGGTGTCCTCTTGCCCAGATCACCAACTACCGTCACGTCCTCCACCTAGTTATTAGGAGGCCAAACGAAGCGAAGACCTGTGCCCAGCATTACGATACTATGCCCTGCTGATAGCTTAAACTGCCTTCTCACGGGACACACCAAGGGCGGAACAACCATGGAACACAGATGAACTAAGGTGAACGTCGATACAGTTGGTACCCTGGCGCGCGTGTACAGTCAACCAACTACGGAGCACAGACGTGATCTGCCTGGCTGACAAACTCGAACGAAGGTCGACTGGCGGCTGAACGAGGGCCATGTCCTGACGTGAACAAACGGTCAAATATGGCAAACCAGGCCGGCGCAACGTGTTCACATTGGTTGTGACCGGGACGGCGAAGATGCGGGGATGGTGGCTGACCTTTGGATAAAATCTTCATTTCCATAGGATATACACCGTCTACCGAGCCTTGGCTTTTGGTTTCACAGTTGAATTGAGTGCTGTTCAGAGCGGACCGTAGACAGCAGCACCGCAGATGAAGTATCACAACACTACGCGAGCATGTTGCATCATATTCCGACCGCTACAATTAGTTCTAAAATTTTGACCTGCTCTCTCAATTGCCTAAGACAATGGTTTCATGTGTTTCCACATTTCTGATGGCTGCTTGCAACGTGGCTACTCCGCGGCTATAGCTGCGTTCCGTTTGATGTGGCCCCATTTGGCTTCGACTGGCACTGTGGTGGACTTCGCCGATTGACCATCAGTCCATCAGATCAGCGGACGCCTCCATGCACAGTTAACGCGGAAGAGTTGCCCATTGCTGTATCTCAACTATTTTAGGGGCAAAATCCAACAATTATACACTTGCCCTCTTCATGTGTGCGGTCCGTAAGCCCCACGCAAGTTTTGAGTAGTACTGCACGTTAAATCTATTTCATCGATACAAATCATAGTTTACTCTTCGGCTTCACGTTCCCTTATGTCTGCATCTTTTCACAGTCAGAGTATCCGGGACTCCACCGATTGCCCCGCTGCTGATGCTCCAACTAACAGAAGTAAGTCGAAAGAAATATCAACTATTGTTTCCACTATATTACCCAGGTTACATTGTGGTTTCACCCATCTGAGGACACTAACATGGCCATTTATGCTGGTTCATTGTGGGTTGATGAGCCTAAGTGGATAACGAGCTCATTGGCCACCGTACGCTTGGTTCACTATCATTTCGATCTGATGTTTCTACGTTTTCGTATACTACTGTGTCACTTTTTCATCCCTATCCCCGGAGGATTTTCACCGCTCCATTCACGCAATGATTCATCCGAAATGTTACTTCTGTCGAATAGGTAGAGTTTGCCCATCTGGCATTGGGTAATAGGCCCTCCAGTTCCTACTTCACTGACCCGTAGCGTTGAGGATCGCAAACTTACCTTGGAATCCGAGAACGCCGGTTCCAGCCTGCGTAGAAACCTGGCGACCCTCGCAGTTTCTTTGGCCCACACGCTTACTGGTGGTTGTTGCGCGGCAGCGAAACGCCGGTACGCGCAGTACCGGCGTACTACTGACATCTTAGTCTTTTTCCTAATTGAGCATATGTTAGATTCGAACCAGCACCATCGGTTCTTTCATGGGTTTTGTGTGTTTGCCCTCCAATTACCTCGACTATTTTTGTTTGCCAATTGTTATATCTACCACATTGTATGCGATTTCGGTTGAATTGATTTCATCCTCTGCTAGCTCCGAACTCCAGTTGTGACTCGAGGTCAACGCGTGGGGGCAGAAGCGTGTTCCGGAGGCACCTCTACCAAGAACTGTTACATGTGGTGTACAATCAGTGGACCTTTATAGGTTAACCCAGTAATGCTCATGTTTCAGAAAACTGCTCCGTCAACTGCCCTGATTGATTGTTCACTTCCGTTGGCAATTGGGAAGCTAGGTCCGCAGGTCATGTGGTGGACGCAAATTATCCTGAAACGACTGTAGTGACTATACGAAACCTTGACTAAGTATACTCACGAGATGGGATTAGAAAACTGCACGCAGAGAAAATACAACATAAATTCTTATTGTCATGATTCTATGTATCAAAGTAAACACAATATTCAACCTATGAATAGGTTTACAATCATAATGAGGAAGGGTGGGGAATTGGAATACGCGCGTGGGCTTACGGAAACGGTACAGCATAACACTTTGATGATTGACAGTCCGTCGAGGTTGGTATACCTGACCTTGAAGCATCAGGAATGGGCCAATGATGCGAAGTGAAAACGTAAAGTCTCATAATGCAAGCCTTCGAAGCAAACATATGAAAATTTCCGTAATGAAATAAGTGAATTGTTTGGGAATATGGATATCATGTCCAGTTTGACTGAATAATCAAATTTCTCTTTAGAGTTTACAGACTTGGTGCTTCGGCTACGCAGCATTGGTTTAAATCGTTTCCCCACTGAAATAACGACTTCTTGGGAGATTTCATTTTCTCCAGTAGACCAGTTACGTAGAATTCCGTACGGTCAGCCTTTGTGACATTGCCGAAGAGCACGTGGAAGCTCACTGAAAGGATGGGAACTTTAGGTCCGTCCACATCAATGGATGGACACAGAGTCCTTGGTGCTCTATCTACTTTTATTTCTGGCTGTACTAATCCACCTGATTATATTGAGCATTCCTCTTGTATTCTTATTATTGCTTTTATTAAGTGGGAAAAAGTTGAATTGACAGCGTGGAACGATTACTGAGAGCAAAACTGGGTACTGTTGGTCCGTATCGCCTTCCTGGTAGGAGTTCATGTGATTCGCCTTTCATGTTTTGATCGAGACGTTATGAGGTCTATCTCGATGTCATCTACTCGAACTGCCTGTTGAAGGGTGTTTGGTGCGGAGTTCTCTGCGTAGCAATGACTGATTATCCAGCGGGTCAGTGAAATTCGCAAGAAAGCTGTTTCGCTGAAGCCGCCTTATTTGTGCACGATAGCCAGCTGTTTGTGACCGTGAGTTGTTGACACAGTATGTAGACGCCCTGGCTTTGACTGTTTGTTTAGGTCATTAAGGTTTTCCCGTAAATCCCGCTTCTCTCCTTTTTATTATTCTTCGTTCCGTAGGTCACCATGATTGTACGGGAGCGAAGTATCAGTTCAACTGGCTGATGTGTTGCTGTTCTTGCTCTTGATTATTATTATTATTAGCTTTTCGAAAAGCACCTCAAAACAGCTAAATCCACCGCACTTCTCTACTCGATCGGCAAATTGGAACTGAGGTTCATTTAAGCCCCTTACTGGAGCCACTTCGTACTGATCGCACTTATCTTTTGTCTTGTTGTTTGTTAAAAGCAAAGTCTGCAATCCGTCTGTCATCTGCACGAATTGCCTGATACCAACGCCTTTCAACCAATTCTCACCATCATTCCTAGTCGAGCTACATTTCTTCTGCACAATTTAGTCAGCTACACCAGTACAGCTTCTGTTGCGTTCCCACCATTTTCCATGCGTCATATTCTCATGGGCTTTTTGCAAAACTATAGGTGCTTGAGATGCAGCAGACCACCGTGCTGCAGTTAGAGTTTGGGGTGGGCTACCAATCGCGATACGTGTTGTATCCGTTATAGGCGCTCATCCGTAACAGTGGATGCACCGAAATGATGTCATTGTGCGGGCGGAATTCGCCCATAACCACGCCTCGGGTGAGGTCCGATTTGTTTATCTACTGTACATCATTTGTTGGGGTGTAGGCAAGCGGGTTCAGTGGTTCCTCATTTCCTATCACTGGAGAGCACGCTGATCGACGTCGCTCACACAGCTATAACATCCATCCCTCAGGGGTTTGCTTCGTGGGTTACCACATTCAAGTTTCTTACTGTAAGTTCTCTTAGGGATATCGTAAAAAATTTCTCTGAATCCTCTTGATTTTATCACAACCCCCTTATCCTTAAACATGACTTTACTTTCAATCGGTTGCACTACCAACTTTACACACTTTATTCCCAGAGTATGGTATGAATTCCAATTTCGTGTCGGAACAAGTTGCCCACTTCCCACTCGTCCTTTTTCAGCCGCACGCTCTGTGATGCACTATTCGCAGAATGTCACTGAGACTGTTCTCTCACCCAGCTATTGCCGCTTCTTGTCCGTGGGATTGTGCATGCTGTTGTGGCCCGCCCTACTGAGCACAATTCCTGCACACAGGTTTGTCGAATCGGGGAAGCGGTGCTGGACGGAGGCACTGTAAGTATGTGCAATTCTCACACGTTCTCAAATCCCTCAGGCACATGTTTTGCTTTGGTATAGATGCCCGACATCAAGGTTGATACGCCTTCTGACCGCTTAACCCCCGGATTTTTAATGTTAACATTTCTGATGATATCTGTCAGTCCGTGTGTTGTCTTCAGCATCCCATGCTAGATCCCAGATCGCACCTTACGCAACCCATGCCATTTGCGTTAGATGGAAAAGCTAAATCATGCGGCTTCTTTTCCCCTTAACTAATCAACTGTCTTCGGAGGCTTTCACCATACAACGCTGCTCCGCCTGATTTCTCAGCTCACCGAAATGTGTGCTATTTGTTTTATGGCCATTATATAATATATATAAATGTATATATATATATAGCATGAAAAGTATTCCGCTTTATTTGATTTGCACAGTTCCGTTATTCTACTGCACATTCCGTGGCTCCCATCCATATGCCTCCCGGTCCTCTTCCTTCAGATTTACAGTGGATATGAGGTGTGTGAACGGAACTGTGTGTGGTGCAGCGCAAGTCACACATGGTTATCTGTAGTCACAAGCGTTCTGTGGCTGTCCCATGGTGGCCCTGGGTGCCACCAACCACCCGGACTAGAAGAACCACGGCCCCATTTGCTGAGAGAGCTGCATTACGCCCACCCCGGTGTGAACAGGATGAAGGCGCTGGCACGTGGTTACTGCCGGTGGCCGAACATTGACCAGGATATAGAGCGGCTGCTGAGCAACTGCGAACAATGTCAGAAATACCAAAGGCAAAAATCTCTCGGACCGATACATCCATGGCGTGTGCAGGAAAGGTCCTGGCAGCGGGTACACTCTGACTACTTTTGCCCAATCTGTGGGATGATGTGTCTACTTTTGATTGATGCCGATTCTAAATGGATAGAAATACATCCAGTTCCACATGCGACTTCCGCATCGATAACAGATAATAGTCAATTCGGACCGTCGCGGGGTAACATCTTTTCAGCCGATTGCTTAGATTGTGTCTATGAGGTTGCGAAGAAAAAGCTTCTAACTGTTTATGGACGTTATCCAGCTGCCGAACAATATTGCAACCGTTCTCCCAGCTCCTCGTCCTCTCATCTTCCGACAACAGCCTTTCACGAGCCTGTTCGGATATCAAGCACTGTAAAGCCATCGCCTCTTCAAAATTCCTAACTGGGATTTCACTATACTGACACTCAGCAGGCTCTAGCCTGCTGAATCCGCGCAATGAAATCAATGGCAGTTTCTTTAGGGTTTGGACGCAAGGTCGAGAAAGTATACCAAGCAGTGTATGTGTTCATGTTGAACCCCATAACCGGCTGAGGAATTCTAGTGCGCTGTTGACTGTCGCTTCTCACCGACATATAGGGCATCAAAATGTCTTTGGCCTTCATCCCCCAGAAATTGTCTCAATTATTTACTTTCGTGGCTCTCTGAGAGTACCGTGTTTGGTTGCAAGACGGGTAGTAGCTCCAAATCATCCAAAAAGTGCGTTTCCGGCGGTTCCAGATAGTCGATGTTGGTTTCTCAGATGGAATATTCCGAAGTAGTGTAGGAAAGTGCAGCATCGCAGTAGTTCAACCTCGTCGCCAGAATGTTAAGTACGGCCCTTAGCCGATAGACGGAGAAGAACGCGCACGCATAATATGGAATCGATTTACTGAAAGTATCCTGCGTTACAGTGACTAGAAAAGCCGGAAAGGAAAATCAAGCACCCTGTGGTTGTCCTGCGGAGGCCGTATTGACAGGTAACTCCAAAACCGGGCACCGTCAAACTAATCCGACTTTTTTATCCGCTGTTGTAGGTTTCTTTTATTTCTGATTTTTATTTCGGTTGAAGTGCGTTTCACTAGGATTCCAACTACATTGTCGATTACAGGATGTATAGGACATATTTCCAGTTGACTCGAACGGTGACATGTTACGTGTGGGCGTTGATTATCCCCACCTGTTGTTTTACCGGTAACACCCATCCGCCTATCTTTGAGAGATAACTGCACGACAACTTTCCAGACATGTGACTATCTCCACGTCTGGTTTCGCGCGCACGTCACCTGGTGTGTCGATCTTTTAACTAAACATCGCTATCCTGTTGCATGTTCGTGGATTCCAACACAATGTGGAAAGGCAGATACGAGTCTCCAGACGGGCGTTGGGAATTCTTTTGTCTTTGGTCCACGCTGAAGTAAGCAACAAACAGGTGGAAATATGCCAAAGCTTGCGTCATAGAGCGCCCTGAATATGCAAATTTCTCGTCCTTGCTTTTCGACCATGGGCAACACGATTTTCTGTAACAGTAATATTGACAATCCAAGGCATTTATCGTTGTCACTGACTTATTGACCTGACATCATGTGTGTTCGACTGCATTACTCGTTGGGAATACTTCATGTGCAGCAAAGCCTTTTGTCCTTCCAGTCTCTTGTCAGTCCTCATCGACGCAATAACCGCCCTTTTTCTTTCAAGTTTTTTTCCCTATCCCTTTGCTATTCTAGACTACGATATCTCGGAGCTTCACCATCACTACCCAACTCACATAAACTGGCCTGCTGAACAACCTCGTGTTGTCAGCTGGGTGGTCTGGGATCATCTCGATCCAGCGAATGGCTCGGCGGCAGTGTTCCAGGACGTGGTGGATTTTTGCATGGCAAGCGTTCTCCCTCTAAAAAGCCGCATGTGTGCGTTTAACAAAACTGCAATGTGGCGGATGTGACTCGCCACTAAATAAAGTCACGGCCCCTTGTTTCACCTTGGTGAAGCATTGTATCCCAGCACCTTGATGCTGAAAACGTGGGGAAGATTAGGCCCCTGTTTGGCTACTCACCAAACGAAAGGCGTATAAACTGAGTAATCAGTCATCAGCTCCCAATGGGTGCGAATCCCTGACTTCGCTCCACTGCCTTGCGGATAGGCTATTGAGCCAAAGGCTCGGGGTGAAGTCCCCTAAAACAACTCCCTACTTCGGCTTGGGCAACCGAGTAGTATCGTGCTTTCTGTGAAAGCCATGGATTTTACAAATACTACTACGTTGCTTACTTCTGCTGCTACTCTTGGTTCTCCATCACACGTCAACTTTTCTCTTGTTGATAATCTACAACCAGTTGAATCTACTTCTAATGCCCGTCTCGCTGATATCCAAATTATCCGGCCATCAGCTATCCCTCGACCCCGTTCTTCATTCCGTATGGCAGCGTTCAATGTTTGGACCCTCCTACAGATTGGACAACAGGCTGGCCTGGCGCGCACTCTAGAGTCCATCGCCATCGATGTTCGTTGCCTTTCGGAAACTCGATTGCAAAATCCCAGCACCGTGCTTAAGTTATCGTCCTCAGCTGCTCTTGAAACCACATATTACCTACGTCTATCTAGTGACATGGAAGCAGCAACAGCCGGCTTAGTTGGTGTCGGTACCGCATGGAGTGACAAAGCGGAGGTTGCATTACTCGACTGGTTTCCAATCGACAGCCGGCAGTGTGCGGTCCGGCTTCAAGGATCATGTAGAATTAACAGACATCGTGAAGTGAGGCGTAATTTGTTTGTCGTTTCTGCCTACACTCCAACCGACTGCAGCTGTGCATCGGTTAAAGATGACTTTTATCGTGGTCTCCACAACCTTTTGACCAAGGCCAAAAAGTCAGATGTCATTGTCTTTGCCAGAGATCTCAATGCACGAGTAGAGCGCCTGCTTCCGTGCGAAGGTCATCTTGGTGGCAGTCACGCGCTTGATGAGAGCCGTTCTGACAACAGTAGTAGACTTCTTACGAACTTTAGACATATCAGAAGACGCGCAGCCACCTGGCATCCTCCTTCACCAACGCAAACGTGGTCACAAATAGATCACATTGCAACCAGCATTAAATGGCGAAGCAGCTTCCGGGGTTGTAGATCGACTTGGTCTACGTACCTCGATACAGAGCATGCTTTGGTCTGCGCGAACATCAACATGCTCTTCGGCGGATCCTCAAAACGAAAGCTCCATACGCTCGACAACAACAAGTTAGCTGACCTCTCTACTCGATCAACTTATCAAGCTTCCTTATCGCATGCATTCATTAGTACTCTACCTCGAGACATCGAAAATCATTGGAGTTTCCTGCGTGAAGCGATGCTAACTTCCAGTCATTCAATCTGCAGAATCACAAGGGGCTAGATTTCCACACATTAAATGGAATTGTTTGATCGTCGTAGAGCTATCCCGGCCGATTCAAATAGCAGTGCATTGCGTCGCATTCTCAGCCAACAACTTAAACAAAGCCTGCGTGCTGATCGCGAAACTTGGTGGTCCCAGCGCGCCTCAGAGATGGGAACCGCAGCCCACTCTGGAAACTTTCGCAAGCTCTTCCAGGTCATTCGGGCTACTGGTCACAAAAGACCTAATGTCATTGAGGTCATTTGAGAGGTTGAGGGAACGCGGATAAGCAAGTTACGCAGGCGTATGGGCCGCTGGACTTCCGCACTTACTTCAGCTGGCGTCCTCCGCCGGCAAGCCTATTGAGTATACCTAGTTGCGCATCTTAGAACGTCTCACTGGAACCACCCACTGAAGCTGAGGTCTGTGTTGAGCCCGACACTTTAAGCGATTCAAGTCTGCTGGCTCAGACGGACTTCCCCCAGAGCTGTTCAAGTTCGGGGGAGAAGCACTTGTCAACCAGTTAACAGCTCTGTTCTCTAAGATCTGGTGTGAAGAAACAGTTCCATCCACTTGCAGCGAGTCAATTATCGTCCCGATCTTAAAGAAAGGTGGCAGTACCCTATGCGCTAACTACCAAGGAATCAGTCTAATGTGCGTTGCCTCCAAGCTGTTAACATCCATTTTACTCTGCAGACTAACCCCATATTCGAGAAGTGCGCTCCTGTGAAGAACAGGCTGGTTTCCACCTCGGTCGAAGGTGTGTAGACCATTTGTTTACGCTCCACCAACTTCTTAAAACGCGTCATCTTTAGCGCCAGCCCACAATGGTTGTTTTGCTGGACATCCGAGTCGCTTTCGACTCCGTCGAGCGGCCAGCTTTATGGCGTTGCTTACAAAGGAATGGAGTACCCGGAAAGTATATCGCCATCCCTCGAGCACTATATTTCAATGTCTCAGGTAAACTGAGGGTTTATGGTAAGCTCTCTTCACCTTTTGCTGTCACTAGCGGTGTACGACAGCGTTGCGCCATGTCCCCGTCTCTCTCCAATTTTGCGATCGAAGATGTCCTTTTAAAAGCTCAAGAACTTTCAGGGCTCTGGTGTAGAGTTTCTTCCTGGCAACCGCATGACCGATTTGGATTGTGCTGATGATATTGCCTTGCTTGGTGCTAACGCGCACAGAACACAAGCTGTTCTAAACCGCTTGGCGATTGAAGCAGCAAATATGGAATGACCTTTGCCCGTACGAAATGCAAAGTCATGGTCCTGGATTGGCATCCACCTGCCCCAGTGCTCACTCTTCAAGGCACGCAGCTTGACAAGTGGACAACTTTGTTTACCTGGGAAGCTGTCTCTGCTGATGGAAAGGAGATTTCCCTCCACGTTGCCAAAGTCCGTTCGGCATTTGACAAATTATGGCATCTGTGGTGACGCCGTGACGTTTCACTATTGGTAAAGGGCAGGGTCTACAATGCCTGTGTTCGCGCGGTGCTGCTGTACGGAAGTGAGTCCTTTCCGATTCGTGCGAATGATTTGCGTTGGAGTTCGGCCTTTGACAATGGATCTCTGCGGAGAATAGCTCGAGTGTGGTGGATGAACCACTTGCGCAACGATAATGTTAGACGTCGCGTTTTGGGTAAAACGGGACTTCCACTTGACAGACTGGTACCATTGCGCCAACTGTGCTGGCTGGGCCATCGTTTTACGCATGCCAGGAGAACGGCTGCCCCGATGCGCTCTCTTCGCTCATAAAGGACCAGACTGGAAGAAATCGCACGGGGGTTAGCCTATCACGTGGCGACAAATGATTAAAGCGCTGACTTCTAGTTTAGCTGTCGTAAGTCTCATGCGTCTTCCGGGCTGGGGGATCAAAGATGAAGAACATCGCTTGCTGGAAACTCTTTCGGAGATGGTGGAAAGTGTGTACTAATATTTGCCTTGCTTTTCTTGATTTATATCAGGAGCATTAAACAGACAAAAAAGATAAAACGGCGTGTGAAACAAAGAAAAGACCAGACTCAAAAACAAAACTTTTTTACATCCTTATTCTTTTCTTTGTGGTCTCTGTATTTCTTATTTCCGTTTCATGGTTTTCGCTGGTTCTATGTCTATCTTATAGACTGCTGGTTTTATACATATATATATATATATATATAGTTATTCATGCAAACGTTATTGAAGGAAATTCATCACATCGAAGCTCAGTCAGACAGCCATTAGACGCCTGGGATATCTCTGTACGACGATTTCATCCTTTCGGGAGTCGTCAGCATTGCGGATTTAGTCTTACCCCTGTGGAGCTTGGACCCACAACTTGACTGTTGCAAATCTATGGTTGCGACCACGAAGCTGCGGGGAATGGCAGCGACTATCTTGTCGCTAGATCTGATAGAGCACCGCCCACTACACACCGTAGCTCATTGGTCTCAGCTACAGACTGGCAGCGGTCGAGTTGCGGGTTCCAGCCCCACAGGGATCAGATGGAATGCACACTACTGAAGATTCCGGAATGTACAAAACAACCGTGCAGTGCTTTTCCCTGGCATGTGATGGCTTTCTGACTGGGTCTGGATGCGATGAATTTCTTCATGTATCATTCAATTTCCCTCACTACTCACTTCTGCACACACCAACAAGTGTCTGGGGTATTTTGTATAGTAATCAACTCACTCCGTTTGAGCCCTTTGGAAGTCGATATCTCTATGAATTACTCTACATACAGTTTCACTGGCGTTATTTTTTTCTAGAGGTATCGCTGCGCTTCGTCGTTTTAACCCTCTCCTATATGGTTTGCACTTTTATGGCTGCATTACTGCGTCTTCAGGGAGTGGTTGCGCATTTTTTCTATGTAGCATGTTCCACGTTAGACCAATGCGATTATCTACAATTTCAGATCCGAGTTGCCTCAAGAGATTCGTGAGTATAAACCATTGACTGTAGTTCCGAAAAGACAAAAGCTGGCCACTTCCGACTCCGAAGATGAACTTCCCGAACTCCACTCCCAATTGGTTACGCCCCCACCATCTCCTCCTTCGCCGGAACAGACGTAAGCACCTTATCTGCCAGTTCACTCCTATAATCGCACGCTTCTCAAGTACTGAGTTATCTTACAATGCAACTGTTTCTCTTCTCTTTGCAGAGAAATGGCTTCCACTTCTAACGCGCCCATCGGCAGCCTAAAGCTGAAAAGAGAACGTATTAAACGTAGACGGCAAGCTCGTATTATCCAGTCTGCCACAATTGGATTCAAGTTACCGGTCTCAAATGGTGAAACTCTTTATGTGAAAGTTCCAACTGCTGTAAAAACCCTTTACGCCTGTGGTTTCCAGCCGGAGTCCATGTTGCATATTTCCCAGTGAGACGGACTGCAAATGCATGATTATACCGCTTCACACCTAATTTTGTACTTCAATTATATCATATATACAGATGTATATATATGTAAACGCATAATAAGTAAGAAAGTATTTTTGCATAAGTGCAGTTCACCTGGAAAGGAGCTCATGTTAAGGAAGACGAATGTCTGCAGCGTTCCATCCCACAACTTTTGATATTGCGCTACTGATCCCGCCATGGGTCATATAGTTACTACGCGAGACTGTTTACCTCAGCATACTAGAAATCCCGAAGTATACACTTGGCTTGGTTTTCCATTGAACGTCATAACTGTTCGTAGCATCTGCAAGTCACACCACAGCTTAGTCAAGTATAAAAACTTAAGCTCCCTTAGTGGTAGCAACAAATTTGCCTTAGCCTTGGACAACACAGCCAGCCTCTGAAAGAATTGCGCGCTTGCGTTACAATCCCGTAGTCACTGCTTCGAATCCGCGTATCTGCCGGCGACGTCGCGATATACGACGCATGGTTGTCGCATGGGATCGAAGCGTCGGTACGGTGTGCCGCCTGTGCACTGGTGATGCCTTCCGGGGCAAATCACTACGGAGCCGAAAGTGAACTACATTACCATGCAAATGGATGTCAAAATTTAATAATAATATTGAAAGAGCCGAGTCTCCACAAGATACGCAATGATGGTGAACTTTCGACTATACAGACAGATCACAAAGACCAGACTGGCACATAGAGTCACAAATGTGCCTATGTTGCGTCCCAGGACCCTACATAATGACTAGTTCTCTGTGCACAGCATAAAAACTACAATGTATTAGGTGTGGCAAGAGTATGGCAAGTTTTAAATGAACAAAGGACAGGCAGATGAGGCAAATTGCGTGAATCGGTGATCAGCAGCAGTACATAAACCATTTTAAGGGCCACTTCGCTACCGCACATTCACGATAACCTACGAAACGAAGGATAATAAAATGTAGAGAAGGGGGAACCAGTGTGAAACTTCGATCTTCTAACCAAAGATTCAGGGTCATGGCGCCTACATCTTACCGTACCGTCACAAATAACCGGCTATCATGCAAGATTAAGGCGAAACAGTTTGCGGCTTTCACTGCCCGTCGTCATAATCAAGCATTACCCCACAGATAACTCAGAAAACAACACATGCATTAATCAGGCGGTTCGACTAGGATTCGACAGCAGACGTAACACTGGTGCCGACTGCGAGCCATGTCCTATAACTCCTCGAGCTAAGCAAAAAGCGGGTCACATAGACTTAAGTCTGGAAGGTGTGATGGACTACCAGCTCAAAGTATCGTAGTCAGTGACTTCATTGACCGTTGCCAAGTTAACTCGTACCTACATCGAGCGTTGCGTCGCCTTGCATCTCGCAAACAAAACAAGGCACTCCTCGGTGATCGGGCATTTGACACGTGCCTGTTGTATGCCGAAAAAGCAGCAGACCAGAGTAGAACCGGGACCTAGGTATGGAGGCAACTGTCCGCACAAACGCGCCGTACAATTAAATCGACAAAGGTTCCATTGCAACCAATCGAATGTAAGAGCACATGATAGGCCAACGCGTGCTAACTAAACCTTTTACGACTCAGGTAAATCCATAACGGAATCAAGCTACTCCTTTATAATATTCATTTGAATCCACAAGCACATCAAGTTGAATCTAAAGTGGCGCACACACACAAATGCGTGCCCATCGCCTTGACCAATTGCAAATCAGTGCAAGAGTACTCAGAACATCTGCATCAGTTGGTGCAGCGGTTAGACTGCGCTCAGCCAACAAACCACGTGATGCACACGCGGACGTGTAAACAACATGTGAGCGCAGTCACTGTAGGATGTGGTGCGGACTAGCACGCGGCATCTATGGACGGTTGAGGAAGTACTGTAATTCCCACCCACTCACTTACACGGCATGAAGACACATAACAGAGAAATGGGGGCCATGCGCGTTCATAGTGCTCACTGTTTGGCGTAGACGACCAGACATGAAATGTGCTCTACAATGAGACAGTATAGATTACCTTCACTAAAACCAGCTGCATGCAAGCTAGCAGACAGGTCCGTCAACCTCATCTGGTTTGACCTATGCTTAGCGGTGTCTGCGTATGATCAGGTGTGGTTAATAGTGGCTAGGTGAAATAATTAATTCGTGCGGTGCTTCACTACGCGCTATCATGGAACAATGCGTTAGTCATCGGTGGGTGTGGCCGAATTACCTACTAACTGCAGTTAATCTGCCTTAATGCTGAAGTCAGCATCTGCACAGCAATGCATGATGTACTGCAGTGATCTTTGCGGAAGTGTACCGCGTAAATTGTGATAACGTTACCGAGTTGGCCACAGCTTGCATTTACTGGTCTATATGCAATCGTTAGTATAATGTAGCCGTTGTCACCGTGAACGAATACGTTTGTAAAGAAGTGTCATGAGTTCGTGTGAAACGATGATCTATGGTAACGTTAGCGCACTCCTCACCAAGATGCCAAAATGCGACGCACTGGGTATGGTGAAACGCGGTTTGACTGAAGAGATTAACCTAGGGAGTGGCCGAAGTTTAAGGTGGTTGAAACAACCGACATTGCGCCGTATATTGTTTTAGCTCGGGTTTCAGTCGGAAGTAGGCACTCAAGAACATGGTGTTATCATTAGCTCGCCAATGTCCACTATTTTGTACATAATACTGGCAAACTCCAGTAAATGGCCAAAAGTTGTTGGTATCAAGTGGATGGCACGTTTTTAACATAAACGTGGATAAGAAAAGCTAGTTTTTGAGGAATCTGAAATCGCTCACCATAGAGTTGCACATCGCCATTTCTTGACTGCTCTGTTTGCAAGAATGATTAGATTCCGAACCGATATTTTGTCAACCGACGGACACAAATGGGACACAGCACTACAATTCCCATCTCTGTGTTTCACAAATTGGGCCATGTGCGCAGAGAAGAAAGTTGGGAACGCCGCTTGTAAGTAGACAGCAATGTACTTGTTGAATAGTGGACACCCGAAACCGGTAGTGAAACATACGTTTCACAATATGCTAAAACCACATTGCAAATATACGGCGCAATAGATTGGAACGATAAGAATATTATAGGTAGAAGGAACTTCCTTTTCCTTTCCGACGGCACTGACCAAGTAATAAGATTCGGTATCTGTTCAACAATGGTGTATCTGAAAGGCACACTTCGTAGATAGGATGACTAACTGTGTTTACAGATGTATTCACAACAACTGAATATGTGTGTATAGGAGATACAGCGAGCAAACTGCACACAACGCTGCTAGAACATCTGAGGCGCAAGTCATGCCGACGTCTAAGTACAATGCTCTACTGTGAGATTCAGCGGTGGCAACGCACGTGTTAGGCACAATGCACGTAGGGTGGTCAGATTATTGTTGAGCCAATGCGAGATGCTTCAATTTTCTTGCGCGCCAAACCGGGACACTTAACCTACCACCGTTTGTTTCTGCATATGCTGATCGCACAACAAGTTTAAAAAATATATATCTATATATTTATTGCTTCAATGCACTAACAAAAGGGACTTACGTTATTGGTCAGTACAATGGCTGCGCTACTGAAGTTAAATATAAATAAATAAATAGTATATTCTCTAAAGAAGAGGCACATAAGTGAAGGTATGATCAAATATACCTACGAGCATGGCTGCTTTGGAACAGTAAAACGTGCTGTTAAAATAAGGTAAGTTCAAAATTTTCCTGAAGTGCATTCCACGTTCTGCAAACTCATACGGAAAAGCAATTGCGACGGCATTCTATACGACTTTACTACTGTGCCAGCTTGATATAATGGCCTCCCTATTTGCGCTTAGTGAATGAGCTCTAGCAAATGGCGGCACGTGTGGTTGGGATCTCTCAAAATATGGTAAGCCAAAATGAGGTTTCCGCGCAATCGCCGATATTGTCCGCTGAAGACCGCGAGCACTGGAAACCTTCATTTATACGGCAAATCATACAGACCCTTGATATCTCTGGTTGCGCGGCGTTGGGGTATCTCCAAGTCGGTGAGATCTCTCCTCAGCCATGGCTGCCAAACCTGTACTGCGTATTCCACATGTGGCCGTATGTATGAGCCGAGAAGTTGTGGGAAAATCGAAGGGTCGAATCGTCCGAGTGCATGGTTCAGGAGGCCCGCGTGTTGGATGCCCCTCCTTTACATCGTTTCAGTCTGATTCGAACATCCAAGGTCAATCTGAACAAAACTCTCACATCCTTCTCGCCAGAAGATGTTTGAAGCTTCTGGTTGCCGAGTTTGTGGGAATGAACCAACTTGTGCCTCAGATGCAGCACTCTACATTTGTCCAAATTGAATCGAAGTACATTCTGGACATCGCAGCTTAGCGTTTAAACACTGAAAGCGATACATATGGTGAAACGCAGTTCTGAAGACAAGAGTGCCTTGTATCCTTGCGAACGACTTCACAACATGCTGATGCAGCGCCCAGATCTACTACGAAAAATAAATTCATCTTGCTAGGCGAACAACCCGTTGGTGATGTCAGCTGGTCGGTTCGGGTTTACCCACTTCCAGCAAGTAGTTCGGTGGCGGTGTTTCAGGACATGGTGGCTTTTCGACTGACAAGGGTTTTTTTTGTAAAACGTCACAAATATCCGTTTAACAACACTGTGACGTGGCGGATGTGACTCGCCGCTCACAAAACTCACTGCATCTTACATCTCTAATGATGACACCATGTTCTTGAGTGCCTACTTCCGACTGAAACCCGAGCTAAAACAATATACGGCGCAATGTCGGTTGTTTCAACCACCTTAAACTTCGGCCACTCCCTAGGTTAATCTCTTCAGTCAAACCGCGTTTCACCATACCCAGTGCGTCGCATTTTGGCATCTTGGTGAGGAGTGCGCTAACGTTACCATAGATCATCGTTTCACACGAACTCATGACACATCTTTACAAACGTATTCGTGCACCATGACAACAGCTACATTATACTAACGATTGCATATAGACCAGTAAATGCAAGCTGTGGCCAACTCGGTAACGTTATCACAATTTACGCGGTACACTTCCGCAAAGATCACTGCAGTACATCATGCATTGCTGTGCAG